AGATTGAAAGGAAAATTTTATAAGATGGTGGTGAGACCTGCAATGCTCTATGGCGCTGAATGTTGGCCTTTAAAAGAGAAGCATAATAATAAGTTAAGTGTTGCCGAGATGAGAATGATTAGGTGGATGAGTGGCTTTACACTTAGAGACAAAATGCGGAATGAATATATTCGTGATAGGGTTGGTGTAGCTCCTGTGACGGACAAAATTAGAGAAAGTCGTCTTAGATGGTTTGTTCATATTAAACGCCGACCATTAGATGATACGATTAGGAGAGTAGGTAGATGTTTTAGAGATGTTTTAGATTGGACTTGTGTTAAGAAAGACAGAGGTAGACCTAGGAAGACTTGGGCTTATTGTATTAAAAATGATCTTAATTTACTAGAACTAAATGAAAATATGACACTAAATAGGACGCAATGGAGAAAAAAGATTCATGTAGCCGACCCCACGTAGTTGGATTAAGGCTTTGTTGTTGTTGATGCAAGATCTTTACCTAGTTGTATGTACTCACTAACAATACGAGACTCTACGTCTCAAAAGAATTCAACACTATTCTTAAGAGCATGCAATGGATTTGTTGTTTTACATTAATATATCTTATTGGTTTTCGTGATAATTCGGTTGGATAAATCTGCTTGTTAGGATTGGTTCTTTAAGTTGCAATGCATTTTTCTTTCTTCTCTGTGTTTGTCAATCAAATTATGGGTGACGTTTTGATGTAGAATGGTAGTAGAATAGAAAAAAAAACTGAAATTTACTGGGAGAGAGGGAGAATAGAATAGATAAGAGAAAATTCTTTGATTTCAATTTATTTCTTAATTGATCTAAAATCATGCCAATAATCCTTATTTATCGAAATATCATTGCAGTGATAATATTAACGTAAAATCTCATCCTAATTCAAATTCAAAGCCAAAGATTATCTAAAATAAACCTAAAGGTTATCTAAAAGGATGATTTATTTTAATTTCAAATAAAAGAAACAGAAAAATCCTAGTAATTTGAAATAAATTTTAGACATTAGAAAAGAAAGTAAGCCTAATTTCTTGTGCTACTTGAATTTCTCTGTGCTGGATAAAACTCTTCTTTTGAGGAGTTACACATAATCCCTTTGCTTGGAAGTTCGGTGGCCATGGTGAAAGTGGAAAATCTGCTTTATGAACATCCTTTGTATTTTCTTTATTTTTAATATTGACATAAAAAATGTTGATTATGGAGACTTTTAAGTCCAGGCATCTCCATGCATCATATATCCTTTATAGACTAGTTACATAACAAATTCCATAATCACATGGAGGTGGCAAGATTGATTAGAGAAACTCAATTTTTGTTTCAAATGAATTAGGAAATGCTTTTGGAAAATATAGATGACATTGCATTTTGGAGAAGAAGCTAGCATGAATAATGAAATATTTGGGCTATCCTATGTCTTCATGTCTAGGTTCTTATAATCTCATGTGATAGGCACACTCTCTAATTTTAGCCCACAATAGCCTCAGACACAATCACTCGTTCATAAATAATCAGAACTACTTATGTTTGCTCATAATTATCATCATGTTCATCAATGGAACTCAAATCATCACAATAATAACATTCATACATTAACTCAAAATGTTTTTTTTGGCTTGCATGGCTGCATATATCTTGAAATCATAGATTTTTAAACATTAGACATTGCAGAACTCTATTGCGTCAGATTTTTTCATTCTCTGATACTTTTTATTGGTTCTCCTAATTAATATGAATAAGGCGTATGCTTAGTTTTTCTTAATTCCTTTTGCTTCAGGTTTTGGGTGCCATGGAACAAGGGGAAACATTCATGAAAGCTCTACAAGGGGCCGTACCAGAAGATGTGCGTGGAAAGATCACAACTTCAGTTGCTGAAATTATGCAAAGTCAAGGTACCAACTTAAACCTCGAAACAGTCAAACAGACTGGTTAGATTCCTATTGTTATTAAAGGGTTTTTTTTTTCCTTAAATTCAGAGCTCAAGTCAAAGATTCGAAGAAAATTCAAAGGCAGTTCACCAAAGGAATTAGGTTTTGAGGATGGCCTCTTAGAACAGATAAAAGTTGGCAAGTCCAATGTTGATGGTTCTGAAGGAAACCTTGGTTCTTCTCAAGAGAAGGGCGCACCCCCTTCCAAAGGTGATGTGTCTGAAGTAAACTCAGTTTCTTCTGAAGAGAAGGGTGCACGTTCTTCCAATGGTGATCGGTCTGAAGGAAACTCTGGTCCTTCTCAAGAGAAGAGTACATGTTCTTCTGGATCTATTGAAGCTGGGTCAGAGATGCAAGAAAAGGCGAGCCAGTCTAGCAAATCTGATCAAATGGCTCAAGTGGCCAATGAGGAAAATATTGAGAAGTCTGATGCATTTGATAAGAACAGCTACCAAAATCAAGTAAAGGGAACTGATAAGAATAATGAAAATGATGAGGAGGTTGATTCCTCGTCAAAAGCAAGCATATTGAGGTCAACTAATTTAGAGGATTCTTCAGCTGTCGATTCTTCCATGGATCAAACTCCTGGGGAGGAGAATGGAAGCCAGAAGAATTCCTCATCATCAAGCTCAAATAATGTTGAGGATTGTCCATCAAGTGGTTCTTCTGTAAATCAAATGCCAGGGGAAGAGGAGGGAAACCAGAATAATGATGAGAATCCTACTGAGGATGGTGCAAGTCAAAATTCGAAGATTTCCTCAGAGTCAGAACAACCTTCACAACAGCCTTCATCTTCCAATTCCAATTCCATTAGTGTTTCCCAGGCACTAAATGCTTTAACAGAAATTGATGACTCCACACAAATGGCTGTCAATAGTGTGTTTGGGGTAATAGAAAATATGATTGACCAACTAGAAAAGAGCAACCAAGGCGGTGATGCTGAAGTAAAAAAAGCTGAAGATCAGATATCTACAAAGGGATTTAATGATAGCTGCCTTATAAATGGAGAAAAATGCAATAATTTTTCTAATATCAGTAACAGATCAGCAATGGAATCAGGCTTGGGCCAACAAGCTTCTCAGCATGAAATTACTCTTAATGAAAGCAGCTCGGAATCTCATGAAGATGGAAAGGATAAATTAAGTCATAGTAAGCTAAACTTTAGCCCTGAACCTTCATCAGGTGAGAGCATTAAGCAATCTCAAGATGATCGTGAAGCAAGCCATTTGAGCAGGACGAAGTTAAGAAAAGATGGGGATACTATGGATTTAACACTAGATGCGGCTATGAAAAGATATTGGCTATCACCCTATGCGCCATACCTCCACAGTTATTTTACACCATTGCCAAGTCAGAGTTCATTGGATCTGGAAAAAGCAACAGATCTGTTCCTCGATCCAGAAGAAGGCCAGTGGAAGATGATATATCAGCCATCAAGTTCCAAAATCACAACCAGTCCGAATGGAAAGGGCCAAAATGTCTATTTTGCATCAGGTCGGAGGGATGTGGCTGCTATAGAGCCATCCTATGCGATGGTTGATGGTGAGTATTTGAAAGTTAACAATGAATTATTTCAAGAGATTGATATAAATGATATTGAACAGGAGGATTCTACAAGAGAGAAGCTTTTTTTCTTGATCAAAAATAGCTTATTTGATAATTTGAAAGTTGAAGTTCTTCGAAGAATAAGGACACCTGATTCAGAAGAACTTAACAGCCTTCTTAGATCTGATTTAGAAAACTTTACGGATAAAGTATCTCGGGTTGTTGTGTCCTGCAGTGACTTAAACCCCAAAGAAAATATTGGTGTTAATTTAATGAAGTTCGGTACAGTTGAAGGACAACAAACTGTTGAAATCATATTGTCAGCATTACAGGATGCTAGCCTTTTGAGAAAAGTTGTTCCATCTGGTGTTATTGTAGGTTCTAGCTTGGCATCTTTAAGAACATACTTGCAGTTAGTTGCTTTACATGATTATGCAAAAAAACCTATTAGCAGACCTCTGAATAAGCAGCAAAGGTCTTCTGCTAATGGTAATTATTATATAAAAGATGATCTTTCTGTTACGAAGAAAATTGAGAAAGCTGAGAATGACCAACATTTGGTTTCCACTAAGCCAATCAGCCAAGTAAATGAAAAGCTTGAGACAGTTGATTCGACTAATGGCTCCATCATGGTTGGGGCTGTGACAACTGCTTTGGGTGCATCTGCTTTTTTGGCAAACCGTCAGGTGAATATGAAATCACGAGTACTACATTCTTGTGAAAATAGTTTTCTTAAGCTATATCTTTCACTGCTTACCAATATGTGGTAGAATGTTTGATGTCTAATCCCGCTGAGTACATACCTAGATATGGATACTATTATAATTCATTTTGGATTCTGAGTAATGCATGCAACAAATGTTGATGTGTACTTTTAGATATCAAGAACATATTTGTATAGTCCAAAAATATGCCTTGCCAACCAGAAGGATCCGCCGCCTGAGACAAACCAAGAGACGTGCAACTGTCGGGCCGACCACCTCCAACCGGCCGTCGACCTCCAATCGACCGGCCAACTCGGGCCCAACCACCTCTTATCGGCCGATCAACTTGGGTAGGCCACATCTTCTCGGCCGGCCACCCGGTCAGCCGCCCCCTGCCTACCAGCCACCATGGGCCGACCACAGTGAAGGAAGATGGTTGGCCACCTCAGCTGGCCACCCCCAGGCGATCGGCCACCTGGGTCGATCACCCGACGCTAGTGGAGACCAATCTAGACTAAATTACCCCTTGCCGCTTCCCTTTAAACATGGGCATGCATGTAATTTCCCCCTCTTCTCTCTATAAATAGAGCAACTCTTGGATGTAAAGGAGGTCCCTTTAGGCTGCCTCTCTCCCCTTCATGTAGGGAGCTTGTTTCCTTTCTCCCTCACTTACTTGTAACCTAATACTTATGTGGAATAAAAAGGGCGTCGAGCTCGGAGACCACCCACTTTGCCCCCCCCCTCCCCGACGGGGAACTCTTTCTCTGTTTCTCTCCCTCTTTTTCTTCTCCCACCGGAATCTTGCTCTACTTCTTGGGCACGGTCCAAAAAACATATTTGAATTCAACATTTTTAAATGTGAGGTGAGCGTGGAACGTACCACCAACAAAACGAACAGTCATCCGAGTTTGAGAAAGCCAAATGACAGAGAAACAAGAAACCAAAACAATAAAAAAAAAAGGAAAGATGAAATGAAAGAAGAAAAAGAAGAAGAAGATGAGGGAGACAAGATGTGACAAGTCAAGAAGAAAAAGACAAAAAATAAAAAAAGTGAGAAGTTATAAAATAAAAGTTAACAAGACATAAAGTAGATGATATGACAAAAGAAGAAAAATATAAAAAACAAAAAGCAAAGAGAGTGAAAGAACCCCTCTCATACTCCAAATGCAAGTCACGCACAAGAGAATAAGGAAAAGATAAGCACGCACTTTCTTATACTTTATTTATTCTTCATTAAAGAAGAAAAGAGAAAAATTTTAAAAAGAAGAGCTAAAAAACAATTCTCTCTCTCTTCATGAATAAAAACAAAATTCTGTCCCTTCACTTTAAGCCTCTCATCCAGGAGAGCATTCCAAAAGGATAAAATAAGCTCACTCTCTTCTTAGGCCTTTCCTCTGGGAGAGCATGCCGAAATAAAAATACAAAATACCCTTTCTCTCCAAACCTCCCATCCATGGTGAGCATGCAGACTCTCTCTAATCTCTTTTCCGAGACAAGCACTCCAAACTCTCTCTCGATTTAATTCTCTCCGCATAAATGACAAACAAAATCCCTCATTCGACCTCAAGAAATCTCCAAAAACCCATCTCGAAACTCGATTCGTAAGAAGCTATGGAGGTGGTTCCCTGCTTCGAAGTGACTGGATCCGCAAGGGGTATGATGCAAATCACTCCACTAGCGAGTCTCGACGGTTACCCTCGTGAAGACAACGACAATTCTGCCTAAGATTTGGCATAAGATGAGGCCCGCCGGAGGCGATGTCCCGACAAGGGTAAGAGAGATGGGCAAGGAGCATGCTTGAGCTGTGAAAATTTTTCCATCCTAAAATCTAAAAAAGAGAGAAAACTTCATTGATTTTATTTCAAAGATCGACTCATTAAAAGATTTACAAAGATACCATTCTAAAAATGATGTCTAAATTAGAAGTCTATGGAATGATGTTTCCTGAACTTTTTGAGTTTTTCATTCTTATTGCAGCTCCGTCTCCAATAAGTGAAAAATTCAGGGAAAATATGCCTCACTGAGCAGAAAGATTTGCCGCCGGAGACAAACCAGGAGACATGCAACCATTGGGCCGACCACCTCCAACTGGCCAGCCAACTTGGGTCGGCCACCTCCTACCTACTGGCCAACATGGGCTGGCCACAGTGAAGGAAGATGGCCAACCTCCTTGTCCGACCACCCCCAGATGATCGACCACTTTGGTCGACCACTCGACGCTAGCGGAGAAGGATCTGAACTAAGTTACCCCTCGCCGCTCCCCTTTGAACAGGAGCATACATGTAATTTCCCTCCTCTTCTCTCTATAAATAGATGACCCATTTAGATATAAAAGGGGTCCCTTTAGACTCTCTCTCTCCCCCTCATGTAGGGAGCTTACTCATCTTCTCTCTCACTTGTATCATAAACTTGTGTGAAATAGAAAGGGCCGCCGAGCACGGGGACCACTCACTTTGCCTTCCGATGGGGCAACTCTCTCTCTCTATTTCTCTCTCTTTCTCCTCCCTCTGGAATCTGCCCTACTTCTTGGGCATGGTCCAAATGAGAGATTTAGATTCAACATTCTAAAATGTGCGGTGAGCATGAAACATGCCGCCAACAAGACGAACAATCATTTGGGTTTGAGAAAGCCAAATGACAGAGAAACAAAAAATAAAAACAAAAAAAAGAAGAAGATAGGAAAGAAGAAGAAGAGAAGAAGAAAATGAATGAGACAAGATGTGACAAGTCAAGAAGAAAAAGACAGTAGAAAAAAATGACAAGATATAAAGCAAAATGTGACGAGAGATAAAGTAGATGACAAGACAAAAGAAGAAAAATATTGTTATTCGGCTACCTCTCTCTTTCTTCACCCCCGGAATCCGGTTCTATTTATTGGGCACGGTCCAAAGAACAGTTTTGGATTCAACAATATTATAATTAAAAATATTGGTATGGAATGACGAGTGATTAAATCACAGATAACCAGGCTTGTATATAAAATGAAATTGAAGGGATGGGTTAAACGCTACAATACAAATATAAATGAAGTTGAACACCATATTTCTTACAACACCTGCAACACATTATCCATTAGGGAATTATCTTAAGCTTTTTTTCTGTAGAATAAAAAAAAATTACCATTTTAGAATGATAAACAAAAATTGCAGTGAAGTGTTCCTGGACTATTCAGACGTATACATAGGATATTCGTTTTTCCAATTGAGCTTGAGAACTACAGAAAGGCTTCCTCACATTGGAGGTTCGGACTTCTGACTTTGTTATCATGAGAGTGATGAACTCAACGGAATAGAAAAGGCCAATAGCAGACAATCTGGAATAAAGGCTGGCAGCTGAATAAAAATTGTATTACTGCATAAGCTTGAAGCAAGTTAGGGAAAAACCGAGCCTACTGTGCCTAGGAATTAGTTCTTTTGGTTTATCCCCCGCAACATTCTATTTATTTTTAATGGACATTATATGTTGCAATTTAATGATTTGTATCTGGCACGCTGATTGATAGTTAAACTCTTACAAAATTTTTCAAGCAATGGGATTGTCCTATGTGCAATTCCGTAGAAGTAGCTCTTTGTAATATGTGTAAATGTTGAACTCATCCTTGGCCAATTTATTTTGTTTTTTTTTTCTTGCAGAAGAAGCTTGAAGAAAGCAATGATACTGAAGAAACCACTGATTGTTCTATGGGAGGTCTCTTCAGTGACAACGAATTTATGGAAGTGAAAAACCAAAACAATTTTGTTAGCAGTCTTGCTGAAAAAGCCATGTCTATTGCTGGTCCTGTAGTGCCTACAAAGAGTGATGGGGAGGTGGACCATGAAAGGTAAATGCTTAATTTGTATTTGAACGAGTTTAACATGTTAAGTTATCATTCTTATGGAACTTGTGTTGTCTATGTTGAGGATGTAAAACAGACTGGTTGCAGTCCTGGCAGAACTGGGACAAAAGGGTGGAATACTGAGGTTAGTTGGGAAACTTGCTTTGCTTTGGGGTGGCATACGTGGGGCTATGAGCCTGACGGATAGGCTGATCACTTTCCTACATATTGCTGAACGTCCTTTGGTCAGTTTATGTTTTTTTTTTTTTTGTCTCAAATCTTATTTATCCTACTTTAAAATTTTCATTACGATATGTTTGGTAAATCATCTTTTATCTGGTTGGGCAAAAGCTCTAAAACCGATGAATATGCTGACCACAGTATACTGCATCCAACCTTTGATTCCTTGAAGCACATCTCTACTAGATATAAGTCGTGGTACCAAATGACGTTGGGGAAAAATTTCAGACTTAATGGATGTAAAGGATAAAGAAAGGTCCTTGGTCAGTGAAAAATAAGAATGAGTAAAGTTTGGGCTTTAAACATCAGGTTGATGTGGATATTTGTGTCTATCAACAACATCATTGTTGAGCTTTTGCAACCATTCAACATATGCTTTGTAATTGTTCTCACGATATTGTTTACGGTGAACATTGTTGGATAATTGTTCTCACGAATTGTAGTTGTCCTACATTTAGGTCATCTGGCTCTTAAAATTTTGAATTCTCAAAAAAGTTAAACATTAACACACAAGTGAATTGCTTTCTTATAAGAATATACCTTTGTTATCAACACTATCCCATTCTTCGAAATAAGTTTGCAAGCACAAAACCCGACCCGAGGCTTGGAATTACCAAGGCAGGAACTGATGGTCGGACGAAGGAAACATTTCTAGCAATTTTATTTTATAATCAAATAAAATCCACCAATGCACAAAAGAGTCATTTTAATTCATAAAATTTAATTTTATAATATTTGATTCATATTTACACTTTTAGATTTAACATAAAGTAAAGCTGAATTATGATACCTATCAACTTGCTCTGCTGGGTTTGTACACATACTCCCTAGGGTTCATCTAATATACAATTAGAATTTCTGTAAAAATATTAGCAACTATGATTTGAGTTAAAATTACTCAGTGGATAAATGTTTCTAAATTATAATAATTTTTATTTTAAAATATTTTGCAAAATAGTTGTATAAGAAAAAGACCGAGTAAAATAGAGCAGTAAATTAAACAATTTTATTTTCTTTCATGAATTGATGTTATACTTATCATAAAATAGAGCATTAAAAAGACCGTCTAAACGTATGCTTATTAAAAAATATATGCGATCAACCTTTTCCGATCTACCATAAAGGTAGCCAATTCATTTACATTTCCATTTCTGTTTCCATTTTATGCACCCTTGCTAGTGTCATCCAGAGGTAACTCCCATATGCACTAATACATCATATTTTATTCAATTTTCTCTATCTTGCATTTAACATTTAAAAGAAAACATGGACTTGCATTTTAGAAGTAAAAGCTGAGAGACATTAAAAACATTCATAAATTTACAGAACTACGGTCAAATAAAAACATATTACCCTCCTAACCCAACCTAACCTAAACTCAATGAAAAAATCCTAGTTTAAGTTGACCTGATTGATTTTTGGGCCGGATTTGGGTCTAGAATTATAACCTGTTTAATTTTATAGATCAGGTTCTGGCTAACAACCTAACTTAAAATTGACCTGAGCTTGCTCTGAATTTAACCTAAATAATTATTATATTTTATGTTAAATGGGCATATGAGTCGAGTTAAAGTCAAGACGAATCAGATTTGGGTTCTAGTTTGTATAATTTTCAGGCTAGGTTCGAGTCAAGCAATTTTAGATTGGGTCAATTTCTGGTCAGACCCAAACCTGACCTGGAAAATCAATTTGTATTTAGATGATTTAGTTGGGGATAGTCATCCTTCTCATCATGTCAAATATTTAGGATAACTTTGTCAAGGTCATTTATTCCCTCTTTTACTTTTGTTAATACTGTTAGGGGAAATGATTCCTCACAATCGAGTCCACCTGCTAGTTTCTCTTTATGGTTTTAGCATGGCTTATATTTTCTTGAGTATATGTCAGTTGCCACCTTCCATGGATGCTCTATATTTTGGTTGTTAAATTTTTCTTTGGTCACTTGATCTTGGAAATTATTTGTTTCGTTATTTTCAATATTCATTTACTAGGTGTTAGAGTTTTTGTCGACTTCATGTGATTATTGAACTATTTTTAGAAGTAGATTACTCTAAACTTCTCTCTTGACACTCACATTATGTGAATGACTTGCAAATGCGAATGTTGTAGCGGTCTTTGTACTTTTGATACTTTAAGGAAGCCCCCTTTTACCCATATTTTTGCTATTTTTCATCATCTTCAAGTCCACTACATTAATATATCCACACTATGCTCTTTTGGTATCATTTTTGGCTTATCAAAATTTTCTTCTTTAGAGGTATGAATTTGTGCGACCATACCAGCACCAGTGCAACGGATCCAATCAGAACTCCGCAGTTAAGGGTGCTTGGGCGAGAGTAGTACTAGGATGAGTGACCTCCTGGGAAGTCCTCGTGTTGCACCCTTCCATTTTGACAAAATGCGAAATGAATATATTCGTAATAGAGTTGGTGTAGCTCCTGTGACGGACAAAATTAGAGAAAGTCGTCTTAGATGGTTTGGTCACATTAAACGTCGACCATCTGATGATCCGATTAGGAGAGTAGATGTTTTAGATTCGACTTGTGTTAAGAAAGGCAGAGGTAGACCTAGGAAGACTTGGGCTTATTGTATTAAAAATGATCTTAATTTACTAGAACTAAATGAAAATATGACACTAAATAGGACGCAATGGAGAAAAAGGATTCATGTAGCCGACCCCACGTAGTGGGATTAAGGCTTTGTTGTTGTTGTTGTTGTTGTTGTAGAGGTATGAATTTTCATTTCTTTATGTGGCTATTTGAAGAAAGTGAAATTTAAAGAATTGCCCTTATATTTCAAGTCTTGCTACATTTTTGTGCATGATTATTTTGATTACTTCATAACTCATTTGGAATTAAGGAAATCATCTTTTTGGAACCTTAATGTTGGAGCTAGTACTTTTGATCATAACATACAACAAAAACAACAATCCTTTATCCCACTAAGTTGAGTTGGCTGCATGAATCCTTTTTCTCCATTGTGCCCTATTGAGTGTCATAGTTTCATTTAATTCTAATAGATTAAGATCATTTTGTATACAATAAGCCCAAGTCTTTTTAGGTCTACCTCTGCCTTTCTTAACATCAGTCGAAGCTAAAACATCTACTATCCTAACCGGATCATCAGATGGTAGATGTTTAATGTGATTAAATCATCTAAGATGATTCTCTCCAATGTTGTCACTGGAGCTACACTAACCCTTTCACGGGTATATTCATTTTGCATTTTATCTTTAAGTGTCAAGCTATTCATCCACCTAAGCATTCTCATCTCAGCAACTCTTTAACTTTATTTTTATGCTTCTCTTTCAAAGGCCAACATTATACTCCATAGAGCATTGCAGGTCTGACCACCATCTTATGAAATTTTCCTTTCATTTTAAACGATACTTTCTATCACACAATAGGCCTGAAGCATTCCTCCACTTCAACCAACCAACTTGAATTCTACTAATGGCATTCCCATCTATATGACCATCACTTTGAACAACAAACCCGAGATATCTAAAACTTTCACACCTTTTGATGATTTGATCACCCATAGTTATAACTCTGCCACTAGAGCTACTACTACTAAAGTTACGTTACATGTTTTCAATTTTAATTCTACTCAAACGAAGGTTATTAGACTCCAATGTAGACCTCCATTCAAGTTTTTCCTAAACTCTTTCTCTAGTGTTATCCACAAGAAGGATATCATCAACGAAAAGCATACACTAAGGTACGTCTCCTGTAAATATCCAATAAGAGCATCCATAACTATAGCAAAAAGGTATGAGCTTAAAACTGATCCTTGATGTAATCTAATTGAAATAGGAAAATACTGGATCAATCCTCCTTTTATTCGAACACAAATAATAGTTCTAATATACATATCTTTACAGACTTGAATATAAGTCATATCAAAACTTTTCTTCTCTAGAGCTCTCCAAAGGACTTCTTTTGGAACTTTATCGTAAGTTTTTTGTAAATGACTACAAACACCTTATGTTGGATATCACACTTGTAACTTTATGATGATGCCCCATTCAACACAAATGAACAAAATCCAGCGAAATGATCCAGTGAAAATTGTATTCTTTTCTGGGCATTTGCTAATGAGTTGTTGGAATGATAAGTACTCTGTTAGTGGAATAAACATTAATTCTTTGGCTTGAATGGAATATTTAGAGAAATTCATGAAATCTTATGATTTCTTAAGCCTATTTTCACGGGCCTGATGAACTTTGTTATGATACTTGTTGTTTGCTGATTTGGAATTAGCTTCTTTCCAAATTCAAAGGCCTGTTTATTGTTTAACATGGATCCTTCTTGTTCCTTTTGCTAATTTCTTGAACTAAACCTATTCATGACATGTTCAACTACTTGAAGTAAGCTTCCAAACTTGTCACAATTTTATATAAATCCCTCTAAATTATGTGTTTTAAGTGGCATGTTTTTCTTGTTTAGCTTCTCACCATAATTTCACTTTTCCTTGCTACATCCTTCTTTACTAATCCTCAATTTTTGTTTAATTACCAGGGTTATTGGATTTGTTTGCATGGTGCTTGTGCTTTGGTCTCCTGTGGTAATACCTTTGCTGCCATCACTACTACAAAGTTGGACAACACAATATCCAAATAGGATTGCTGAATTTACTTGCATTGTGGGTTTCTATATCGCTGCTATGATCCTTGTAACTTTGTGGGGAAAAAGAATACGTGGATATGACAATCCAATCGAACAATATGGGCTGGACCTGACTTCGGTACCTAGGGTATGGAATCTGTCTTTATACTGTTATTGAATGAAGTTAATAAAATAAGGCTGTGACTTAACTTGCAGCATTTTTGCATCATTATGGAGATTAAACTTTTGATGGCTGTCGTAATTTACTCAAACATTGTTTGCTTAACTTAAATTCATTAACACGAACATTATATTGTTGCGGACATGAAAAACTAGAACTGAGCACTTATTTGTTAGATTTGGGTGTCGGGTATGAATTTTTGAATGCTTATTTATTCTTGAGTGGAAGTATTTGAGTTTGGTACAAGAAACTAATTACCGACAAGTCATTTTTTACGTAGGGGCCGGGAATGGCATATCCATATGCAAAACTCTCAATAGGTTGTCAATATACAAATCTCTTGTCCGATTTTGATGTTATGACACAGCTGGAAATGATACTAAATGATATTTAAAATGTAAACCATAAATAGGAAAAGCATAGGTGAATTAATTTTTGAACTTATTTATGTTAGAGATACCTACCAGACAGTTCTAGTATTTCTGTACAGATTAATAAAAAAAATATTTAAAGCCAATATATGGGTACATTCATTTATGAAATATATGGTTGAGATCCTATTTGGAAGGTCCAGAAAATCTCTATTTAATCAGGCAAAATTCCCCATGTGAAACATGAATGTCATTGTGAATCAGGAGAAATAAACCACCATTTAAGTTTATTTGGGGAGGAAAATTTAAAGATTGAACTAACCCAAAATGAAATTGAGTGACTCGTTAGGATGAATCTATCAACACCAAAATTGCGTAATTTTGGCACTTTAGAAGGCCATAAACAGGTCGAATTGGTTTGACGTGGCATTGCTCTGACTTCAAGTTATTCCCTTTGTTGGTTTTCTTGTACTTGAGAAAATTTTAGACGTTTAGGTATTGTAAAATGATAATTCTTTTTAGGCTGAAAATTTGCTGTTTTTGCTGAATTTAAGGTTGGGAACTTTCAGTTAGGCTAGTCCTTTAAGGATTCTGAGGAATTATTTATTTTGGTTAGTGAAATAAAAAATTCAACTTCTCTCTTGTTTGTGTTGATGGATGTGACATCTTCAAGTTCTTCTCAAGTTGTGACAATTACTTATGGGAATGAGTCTCTTTGTACTAGCATTAGTAATGAAACTCCCACATGGCGATCTTTGTACTTATACTACATAAAATGTTTAATGATTGGTTTACCTATGTGACTGAGATTTTGCCAAGTTTGATACATGTTGATTCTTTTTTGTGGCGTGAATTTTAGTAGTTATTGAATTTCATATTTGCTCTTAATTTTCTAATATTAGTTCAGTTTTCTAACAAGTTTTACATTACATCATCACTTGGAATGAATAAAAATTGTTTTATGATCTGGCATAACAAGAAGTTTAGTATGGTTTAAGATAATAGTTGGGAGCCACGATGCATGAATTTTTTGTATTTCTTTATATAGCTTATCTTAGTATTGTATTAATGAATCCACTATCATAGGTTATACTACACCGACAAATGATGACAACCCCGATCAAAATCTTATGATTTTATAGTCTCAAGTGGTCATGATCTCTGATCTACTTAGAGGAGGCGGTCATCCCAAACCTGACATAAATATTTTTGTTAGTAACTATGAGTTGCTTCGTCTAATGGGATCTTATAGACATGGAGAGGATGTTTGTTTAAGGGAATAATTTCAAGCATACATTACTTGAAGCTTTGTTACCAATTAGATATACCCTATAATTCATTATTCAAAAAGAAATGAAGTCATTCGAGAATATACGGACTATAATATTAACCATAATATAGTGGATCCTACTATTCAAATCACTCTGTCAGAAGGCTTTAGTTGTACAAGCTTCATTTGTGAAGCATGTTGGCCAAACCATGTAGAAGGAATGCTCAGGCCATGCTATTTTCGGTATCAGATTATTTTGAATTTGAATATAATAGTGTACTTAATACAAAATTAACTCATTGTGAGCTCTGGTTAGTCTCACAGTTTTCATTCTGAGCAACTGTTGCTGCAGGTGTATGAAAATTGCTTTAGCTTTTAGTATTAGAATTTTATTTAAAATAATTTTATATATTTTTATAATTTTAAATTTTTTATTTTCTAGAATTGACCCTCCTGATTCAAATTTAATTTCAATAGTTGACCCATTTCAAGTAAGCTGCACACGATGATGTTCCGTTTGATGTCTACCTTTAACTTGACTTCGTTTGCACTTTGACCCGCATCACATAGTGACTGACATATGTTACCAACTTATTTACGTTTACATTCAGAAAACACAGTGCAATTAACTTAAAATATATCCAGGTTACCCAGTGCAATGATCTTAAAATAAATCTGAGAGGCTTCTTTTCAGTTTCAAATATAGGTAGCAATCTAAATCCTAACGAGTACACCTTTCACTGGTCCAGCCTAGATTTTCTCTTCGTTAAAACATTTAGATTGCGGTGGTTGTGAGTAATGCTTGTTCACCACCGGAAACAATCCAAGCACTATTATTCTGTTTTGATTTGGTCTTCTTCATGCAGGTGTTTGATTTTCTGAAGGGGTTGGTTGGAGGAATTATGATAGTCTCATCTATTCATTTAGTTAATGCATTACTTGGCTATGTTTCTTTCACTCCGATGACTGGACTATCTTCGTCCTCATCCCGTGCTGTTGTTTTGTTGAGAGCTTATGGGAATGGGCTGCTCCTCACGGTCCAAGGAATTGTGTCTGCAACTTGTATTTCTATTGTAGAAGAATTATTATTCAGGTCTTGGTTGGCCGAGGAGGTGGCTGCTGATCTGGGATATTATCCTGCTATAATGATTTCTGGGATCCTGTTTGCTCTAGTTCAAAGGTACGTCTAAGCATTTTGTTTGTTTTTTTTTTGTTCCACCCAATTCTTATATATTTACATATCTAAGACCATTTTTTTTTTACATTTATATCACCCAAATCTTCCATATTACAGCGAAAATGCTACCATTTTAAATTTTAAAATATGAAATGCACCTTTATATGCACAGGCAAGTTAGTATGTATGTCAAAATTGAAGTTTAGGTGTTAGATATGTAAATATATAGGAATTGAGTGTATGCATGTAAATCTTCCTTTTTCTTATTATACAACTATTTGCAAAGTTTTAGTTTTGTTCCATGCTTTGCCTGGCACCATCTTGTTATTGATTTAAATCAAATTCAATATTCAGCCCTTCGCCTTCACCTGTTGATGATTCTCATACATCCCTTTTAAGTTGGCTAAATAATGGAGGGCCAAAAAAAGGAAAAAAAATATTAAAAGCATAAAAAAAAAAAAAAAAAAGGAAAAAAAATATTAAAAGCAGAAAACTCAATATAGAATACAATAAGTTAACACCGGTGAAATTGACTGGTCCATCCCTACAATCATATTGACAAGTTTTCAATATTTCTCTGTAACAGTTTTGATCAAATATCATCTTCCAAGCATATATTCAACTTCGGTTCTGTTATCACCAATCTTCAATATATCTATATATTCACTATTAGAATTCACAAATATGACCTTGCTATATCAAGAGATTGCAAACTATAATTTAAAGATCTTTAAACCTTCCATATGGATGGGTATCAGCTTTCACATTCATATAAATCTGATTTCAATATAAGCTTGAGCTACCTTCTTCAATCATTCAAATTTGACTTGAGTTCATCTTTACCCGTTAGTCCAATTTTTTATTTCATCATCAGAAATGATTCTACCTATAAATCTGATTTCAATATAAGCTTGAGCTACCTTATTCAATCATTCAAATTTGATTTGAGTTCATCTTTTACCCGTTAGTCAGTCGAATTTTTTATTTCATCATCAGAAATGATTCTACTCAACAAAAAAGCTAAATTTTCAAAAATTTGTAATCTTTGAGCAAGATTCTCATCAGTGCCTGTTTTAGCTTTATAAGCAATATTCATACATAAATACCACATAATTCTTATGTATTTATGTATCTAACATCTAAACAGTCATATTTACAATGATCTCAGTAAAATCTTTAACATCACCTTAAAAAAATAACACCATCACAATCTTTTTTAAAGTAAATAACTTTTGATGCATATAGATTTATAAAATCAAGATGTTATAAATGTAAATATCAAATTTTAAATGTTCGATTCATAAATACATAATATTTGTACATTTCCCAAAACCTTTTTCTCTATCACCAAGTAGCATGAGAGTATCATAATCCATTCTATTAATCTCTTTGCAGATCGCTGCCTTCGATGCCAGGATTTCTGCTCATGTCGATATTCCTCTTTGGGGTTAAGCAACGAGCTCGCGGCAAACTTGCAGCCATCGTCGGCATCCGCACGGGTTTAATGGCCACCAATTTTGTAATACAGAACGCCAATTTGTTATCGTACCGGGCCAAAACCCCTCTTTGGTTTGCCAGCCCACATCCATGGCATCCTTTTGACGGAGCTGTTGGACTAAGTTTGATTGCCATATTGGCCATCTTCTTCTTCCCAAAACCTTCTCAGAAGAACATGAATAGCACTATTTCAGACTAGCATACTTTCGACATGCAATTTTACAGGGGAGTTTTTCTGTATAAATTGGGTTTTAGTCAATAAAATTTCGGTAGGTTATTGTAGGTGAATATTTGGATGTAATCATGGGGGATGCGACAGCGAGTGTGTACAGCATATTTTACATTAATTTTGGGGGGGCTTTTTGGTCAGAAAAATGTAATTATGTAATAATTTGGGAGATTTGTGTAATGTGTTTATTATAATAGGGATTGTCATGCATGGCTTGAAATTGAATAGGTGTTTACTATGTAAATATGCGGCTCTGGCTTATCTTTTCAAACGTGCTTCTGCTCAGATTTTGGTCCAGGCTGGTGTTGCATGTCACAGCTTATTATTAAGGAAGATTTACATACATACCAGTTAATTCTTATGTATTTACGTATCTAACCTAATTCAAAAGGGACATTTCATTTTTTTTCTCATGGAAGGAGTGATTTTTATGTCATGTGAAAATTCTAGGTCGCATTTCTTCTATTTCTGCATGTCACAGCTTATTATTAAGGAAGATTTACATACATACCAGTTAATTCTTATGTATTTACGTATCTAACCGAATTCAATTTTTTTAATACATAATTTATAAGGACGAAGCACAAACAAATTTAAATATTCATTCGTTCGTATTGGGTTCATTTTATCTCAAAATAAGTAAATAATAATAATTAATAAAATAGGTTTTTTATTATATTTAAAAATATTAAATTTCTTTTCTAAGATTATTCATGATACAATTATACAAAACATGTAATTTCAGATTAAGTTTAAAATTTTCAAGTAATAATATAATACAATACAAAATAATTTATACGTTTAACCATAAATTGTAAGTCCAAAAAATAAAAATAAAAATAAAAAAACCGAAAAATTAAAGGTGTCATTGGGTAGCTTGTGCGTGCGTTTCAGGATAAGTAGTTTATCCTAAAATGTTGTTCGAGTCGACCGTGGGGTTCGACTGCCAACCTACATTATGTAAAAATGAAATCAATATTTTGAATAAACAAACAAAACACACAATCTAAGTAGTACCGCGACGTTTTTAAAAACGCACCCTACTTAAGCAGCCTCAAACGGGCCCTAAATTGTGGAAAAAATTTGTGTATGTAAAACGTATGCAACGCGGACATTTTGGAGGTTGTACATAAGATATAAAGGGTTATATCCGTATTATATCCCCTTTTAATCTTCCGTAACCTACATGTAACCTACAAATAAGTTTCGCACTTATATTTTCATATATTAAGAATTTATTTTCATATATTAAGAATTTATTTATAGGTTAGAGATAAATGATTTTAAATTATAAAAGAATATAACACAGATATATCTCTCTTATACCCTCGTATAATCTCCAAAACCTAACGTGGTGTTGCATACGCAAGAAGTACTCAAATTTTTTTCCTTAAATTGCAGCATACAATTCATCCAATGATTTAAACTCATTTCACAATTCAAAATCGCCGCCGTTTCTTAAAAATCTTCAAAATCAGAAAGCGAACAGAGTAATAGCATCTAACATTAACAAAAGAAAAAAAAAAAATCCAAAAAAGCTCCATCATAGCAACCATAAACATCACTAACATCACTACAAAGCTACAAATACCAACTCCTCCCTTCCCCTCAACCAACCACCACCGCCAATTTCTTCACCTCCGGCGGCGGCGGAAGCTTCTCCCACACCACCGTCAG